AACCGCTTGACCACGATATGGACAGCTGTTTCCCAGTGGGCTCGAAGCTTGCCTGGTCCACCCGTTTCATTGAGGTTTCTCACCAAAACTCTGTCGCCAGGTTGGAGGACACTGCTGTGTACCCTTGTGTCATATTGGCGTTTACCACGGGCACTGCATTTCTCCGCATTCTGTCGTGCCAACTCATAGGCCTCTTGCATCTGTCTCCTCCAACGCTGACTGTACTCCTGGTGGTCCCTCGGATGGGCGGTTGGTTGCTGCAGCCCAAAGGCTAGATCGATAGGCAGGCGAGGGTGGCGGCCATACAGGAGAAAAAAGGGCGAAAATCCCACTGCATCAGAACGAGTGCAATTATATGCATGGACCATTTTATTAACCGATTCTTTCCAGCGGGACTTGTCCTTTTCTGGCAGGGTGCGCAGCATTCCCAGAAGGGTCCGGTTAAATCTCTCCACCTGGCCGTTACCCTGAGGATGGTAGGGAGTTGTCCTGGAAGGAGTGATGCCACTTAGCCTCTGGAGCCTCTGGAAAAGTTGGTTCTCAAACTCCCTTCCCTGGTCATGATGGAGCTTGTGAGGAAAACCGAACCTCAAGACAAAATCATTAAAAATTTTGTCTGCAGCAGTCTTGCCGGATTTGTTAGTTGTTGGGTAAGCTTGCGCGAATCTGGTGAAATGGTCCATCACTACAAGGATGTATTCGTACCCACCAACACTCTTCTCAAGGTGCACAAAATCGATTGAGACCAGCTCAAATGGTGCTGTCGTCACAATACTCTGTAGTGGCGTTCTCGTCTGGCGATTTGGCTTCCGCTGCTGCAGACATTTGCAGACGTTGGTGACAAAGTGTTCAATATCTCTTTGCATGTGGGGCCAATAGAAGCGGTCTCGTGTCAAGTGAATGACTCGTTCAGCCCCCAGGTGGCCCATCTCTTCATGTAGCTCTCGATAAACCAAGCGATGGTATTTAGAAGGGAGAACAATCTGGGACCTTTCACCTGATCTGCGACGTAGAACTCCATCTTCATCAACACTCAGTTTGCGCCAGTCACGAAGAAGTATAGTGGTGTCTGCATGCTCACCTGCCCGATCGTGTCTGTCTGGTAGTTGTCCACGGCTGACATGATGCAGAATCGGGCCGACGATACTATCGGCTAGCTGGGCCTCTTTTAACTCTTGTTTGCTGATTTTCTGGATAGACTTTATCTTGTCATCAGGGCAGGAGGTGGTAGTTGTGATAGCTGTTATCCATGGGCAAAAGATGGACTTTCTCGCTCTGATTGCCTGGGCCGCTGCACTCATGTGGTCCATGGTGACCTCGTTTGTACACTGCCCCATGTACTCATCAATCTCCAGAGGAGTACGAGACAGTACATCAGCGTCAGCGTTGTTTCGTCCTGGGCGGTATCTGATGTTGAAGTTGAAGTCTGCAAGCTCTGCTACCCACCGGTGCCCTGTTGCATTGAGCTTGGCTGAAGTGAGGATATAGGTGAGCGGATTGTTGTCGGTATACACTGTAAAACTAGGTGCGTAGTACAGGTAGTCCCGGAACTTCTCAGTGATCGCCCACTTCAAGGCCAGGAACTCAAGCTTACCGGAGTGAAGATGGTAGTTCTTTTCGGCAGGGCTGAGAGTGCGCGATCCGTAACCAATAACCCGCTTCTTGCCATCTTGCTCCTGGTAAAGTACTGCTCCCAGCCCATCTCGAGAGGCATCGGTGTGCAGGATAAATGGCTTGTTATGGTCCGGGAAGCCCATTACTGGAGGACATGTCAGGCACCTCAGTAGACGGTCTAGAATTGAC